CGGATTTTAGAACTCAGCAACCGATTCATGTTACGTCATGTTTATTAACAGATTAGGGAGCGATTGGGTGACAGAATTAAAACAGTAACGATTGCGATTTAATGTTCGCGGGCAGCTCCCGATATCCGTACATATTTTCCCTGTTTACTGCCCGCGAACATTAACTGTTCCAAAATGCAAACAATTTTCGAAGCTCTAGGAAAACTATTAGCGGAATAGCCAAATTAAAAAAGGTTGTTGTTTATATATACAGATTTACCTTTGCCAAGGCAAAGCTGGAAATTTTTCTTCTAAGATCGGTTCGTTTCGAAAAAATCTCTGATACCGTTGTATTTTGGATATATTTCCATAAGAGAGCATCATGATGAGCTAAATCCGTAAACATAAGCCAGAGCCCGAATTTGGTGCTCTGAAAAAAGTCTGGACGGGAAAGGCCCTATGATAGAAACCACTCGGGCTCGTTAAGGCATGACTAAGGATGATAAAATCGAGATTTCGGAAACTCTGTCGCTCACTTGTATTCTGAGGCTTGTTTGTGTTAGAAGTCTGGAATCACTTGGGATGAATATGGTAAGAAATGTTTTATCACTGCTTCCTTTTTAACGTTGTTTAAAGGTGTTGCTTGTATCTGTTGTGCGAAGCGTGTGAAATTTAAATCGTTTTGTGTTGTTAGAGAATCTTTCTTTTGATCAGCGTAACCTGAGTTAAGTTCCAACTTACCAACGTTGAGAGAAAGGGACATTTGTAAGAGGAAAAGCATTTTTAGCTTAAGTTAAGATCATGTTTCATAAAGGAATTTATGATTTTGTTCTGAAAAAAGAATTCAGGTGAACCGTTGCCCTTTTATCAAAAGTCCTAATATGAAAGTTAACCTTGGGAACTAATAACTAGACAAAAAATTATTGCAAAGTTCTTTCCTGTGTTAGTAAGACTCATCTTTTAGTGGGTAGCACCACAGGCCTAGTTCACAAGACAAAGTATAAAAGCTCTGTAGTCTTACTTGTATGAATACATTATAATATAATTTTCTGTGTAGCAATTAGTTGTTACTTACACATGCAACAACGATTTCGAATCAGAAAAATAGCTAGTATACATTTTAAATGAATTAAGTTGTTCATCATTAAATATAGCTAAATATGATTGCTTCACTTCACTTTAAGGTTCTTGAGTTTAAAGATAACCATGGTTTTCTGCCTCCTTGCACTACTCAAAAAGAATACAGTAATTCTTAACTTTTCCTCAAGGATGTCACTAAAGAGGGCCTCATTAGTACAATGCAGTAATTAGTTTCAAAATCACTTGAGTAGAAGATTTAATTCGCTGGACATTATTCATCATGCACTTGGCAAATGTTACATTTTGAGCTTATTTTGTTCAATGAATCCTTTAGAAGCATAAATAAATTGATGAGTTAAAAATTGCTGTACAAAATTAAACATTGTAATATGATTAATCATGTTGTTGCTGTTCTTTTCTAGATTTCTTCCATGTTAAATTGCCTTCAGGTATGTTCTGGATCTACATACATGTAGGATACTCATAATGATTTATCAGTTAGACTGTTATATTAAAGTTCCTCAAAATGGTATGTATTAAATAATATTTTTGGTGCTTTTTCATGCTTACAGTACATGTGGAACCTACTGAAGATAGCTTTTCTTTGGACTTAATGTTTAGGACTGTAAATATTAATCAATTTGGAGGCTTGGAAAAATATTATGCAAATCACAAAATATCAGCACGTATTATAAAACATTGACTAAGGTGTATTTATTTAGGAAGGTGGATAGTGACCTTCCATATTTTCAGCAGCTCCATGGCAACTTTATTTTTCCTCCATGTTTTTGGTATAACTGGATCTTTTTTCATGTAGTTTTCTGTGGGATTTTTTTTGAAGACTTTCTTGAAGTTGGCTGACCACTCAACAATTGCATCATTTATTTCCTTGTATTGCTTTAGAACTTGTACTTGAATGTGTGCCAGGTGATTTAAGAAGTGTTCTTTGTGGTATCTTGAACTTGAATTTTTTGTTGCATTTTTTTAAAGTTTTTCATATAACATAACATCTTTGGTTGTGCTAAGAATCTCTGAAAGAGCTTTTGCTGTTTTTCTGGATGTTAAAAAATCTTCAGATAATTTTGGTTTCTTAACCAGTGGTTCACCTGTATCATTTTGCACTGTTTCACTCAGCTGTTGTGGTTTCGGAATCTTTTCATTTTCTAGGTTTTCACTTCTGTCTTCTTCTTCAATTAATAGAGTTGTATCCTCAGCTTCCTTATCACATTCACTGTCACTTTTGAATGACTGATCTTGAACTGGCAGATTCTGTTGCATGCATTCTTCTCCATCATAATTTTCTTCATGGGGAATTCTTGTAGCTGGGATTTTGATTCCGCTTTGATTACATTCTTCCCAGCAGTGTTGAAAGAAAATTTTTCTCCATTCTGATATTGGAGAAGTGAAAGTGGTGAAGGGAAGGTCCTTGCTCCCCGAATTCAATTTCCTCAGGGCCATCAAAGAACTCAATGCAGTCTTCATCCTCAATTTCTCTCCACCAGACTCCTTCTACTGGTACGAGGAAGTCAGCAATAGACTGAAGGTGAGCCTCCCAGTGCCTAGCATGTGTGTTGATGACATCTTTGGGTAAAACTGTTTTTCCCAGTTTTGGTGGGGCTTTGCTCATGTTGCTGATTTCCTTTTCTTGCCTGATGATGCAGGTCGCAGCAGCTATTCAATAGTGCCTTACAATAACTGAAATAAACTAACGTGCTTGGAAAACCTAACTGGTAGGAGGCAGATCAGTCAACCATTTACACAGCGCAGCCGACGAGTTTAACTCGGAGCGACCGAGGAGGGTGGAGTACTTGAACCCAGGACCACCAGGTTACAAGTCCAGCACCCAAACCACTCGTCCACGCCGCCTGCCGCGACATCTTTGCCTATATGACCCAAGCAGAGTAGCTTAACGCTTATTGGTTAGGTCCCGATCCATACGTAAAGTCAGGTCCTTGTGCATGTTTCTTTTGAATTATTCATTTCAGAAATGAAGCATGGTGTCGGTAGTAAAAAAAAAATTAAAAAGAAAAACATTTGCCTTGCAATCAAAACCATTTAGGAATGAAGCAAAAGTCTTGAAACCCAATTGATGCGGAACTTTTTTAAGTTGTTGATAACAAAAAAGTAACTTCTTTTCCTACTGAAACGGTATTCTTGTTACTGAGAAGAATGAGGTGCACTGAATACATCACAGACGAGACAAGCCAGTCGTTACACATTCCTTTTTATTGAAATCAAAGATTACCATGGCAATGCATGTAAAAGGCTTTCAATCTACTTGTTTTTATGACTTTAAAACTTATTCATACATGTTTTTTCCTTTAGATTAGATAATCTTTCTCAAGCCTGTGAGATAAATTTAGAGTAATTAATACTTCTTAGATAGCTTCACAGGAGAAGTCATGACGAGTATCTTACGAAATAGAGGAAGTCGGGGAGGTTTTTCGAGCGCGGTTCATGCTAATGCATTATCGGCCCTGCTATTTGATGGTTCTAGCATCGTTATTCGACATACTTTCCCAAGTGAGAGAAGGACTGTGGTTGATGTGGGAGAACCATTCTTTTGACAAATTCTCGCCAGCATTGCTAAGCTTTCAATTGCAGTTTTGAAAGATTTTCTTACAACTCCATGTAACAAAGCCTTGGCTTCAAATATAGTCTATTTTTTTCGCTCTGTTTTCTCTTAAAGAACAATGAATTATGCATAATGAAGTATTGTCTTATTCGGAAATATAGCCACACTTTTTTCACTCGTAAGGTCGAAGCAGGATGAACAATCTATCATTGGAAGAAACTAAATTAACAACCGAAACCTAGATTTGGGGTCATGGGATATAGAAGATAGCTAGTGCCCGAAAATGTTCGTTATTTTTAGGTCAGTTGTGATATTTTAATGCTAAAGTTCACACGCTCTTTTCATCACGCTTCTGGTAAGAGATCTACGAAAATATTATAGCCAGGATAGATATAAACTCAACCAGTCCGGGCCATAGACAGCTTTGTCTATACCACGACGTCATGAAACATGGCGTCAAGGTCCAATTTTTAAAACTTAGGTTAGCCCCAGATTTAAGCCTCGTATTTTTGTCTCTGATATTTATGGAGCCTGGGACTAGTTTACGTTATGTAGTATAGAAAGAGCTTCGCGTCAATGGCAATTTAAATGGCGTCGATTTAAATGTGTGGGAGAAATCCCAATTTAAAGTTGAGCTGCGATGACTTTGGGACGGTTGAGGACAAACATGCCATCAATATCATGTAAATTTAAGGTATGTTTGACTATTTTTCGGAAAAAAGACAAATATTACGGTGAAGTCCATATATGTGCTTCCCATTTATGAAACAGAAGTAGAGTGAACGTTTGTTTAGTCCCCGTGCACGGCCGTGGTTGTTGTGACAAGTTGTCTTATGCCGTCATGGCCTCTGCCAGCTATCGATTTGTCAGTATTCCTAAGGGTTCTTTTGTTTTTCGTTTCAGCCCATAGATGATCTTATCTCTTTCTTGAGAACAGTCTATCTACTTAATGATAAAGGACTGTTGATTTAGACGATCTGACAAAAGCTTATTTAAACTAAACTTTTTTTGGTGTAATTTCAAATAATATTGACCAGGACTCTCAAGACTGCCCTTGAAATTCATCCAAACAAACCGGCAGCTGACGGCTAAAGGAAAAATTCTTACCACTTTTAATACGATGACATTCATGAGAAAATTTCCAAATATGTTATTTTGGTCATCAGTCGTCTAGACATTTTACCAGAATGGGATAGAATTTAATAACAAACACTGCGAGCAAAATACGCATTCGTGCAACATTAAAAAACGTCTTCAATCGTCTTCCATGAAACACTTTAACCGGAAGAATGAGTTGTATGGCGGAAAATCAAATACGCTACAAACGATTTTGAGCTAAGCATTTTATTTTATTCAAATCAAAGAGTGTCATTTAAATGTGAATTAAACGTTTTTAACTTAGTTATTTCAAACTTTACTCATCGTTCATATAAACGCAAAGAAACTCAGTAATAGAAAAAAGGTCTTTGTTTCCTCCAGATTACAAGATCCTTTTCAAGCCTGCAAGATAAAGATCCCATGCTTCATGCAAAAGTTTCAAAAAGTTAGGTTTTTCGAAAAACAAACGACTCTGAACATTTTAGTGAAGAGCCAGTTTAAAGCAAAAAAACAAAAAAACAACAACAACAACAACAACAACAAAAATATATGTATATATATCTATGTATATATATGTTGCGATAGGGGAAAAACAGAGACACAGTACTTTCATCCCTATAAGCCTGTTTTTTGATTGCTCACTCATCAGGGGATTTTATTCTTTTATATTTTATTTCGTGAATAAGCAATCACGAAACAGCCGTGTTAGGATGAAAGTATAGTCTCTCTGTTTTTTTCTCCTATCGCAACATATATCACACTCTACTTCTACGTATCAAGCACTATAAACAGAAAAATGAATACACAGACTTCCTATATACATATACATTAGTGTAACTGTCAATCGCTTAAAGTTCGAGCATGAAAAAAAATTTGATTTTTCTTTAAATTCCCAGCTCAGTGGTTGTAGCAATACACGAATTACCCAAGCGAACGCCTATAAAACACGACACAATCAAGTTTTGGACGATTATTATAGCATAGTTAGAAACTTAGCAAAGCTTTAATCTCACCCAGATCCTGTCCTAGACTATTTTCATCGAACACTTATACTTGGTTCTCTTACCGTTTTAAGCCACCTTATCTCAGTCCTTGTGACTAGTTTCAACGAATTAGCCAAATCTCCGTCTTCGGCGGCGACGGCGACGGCGAAACGCTCGGCTCAGTAGGCGCAAACCTATGAAAGGTAGAATCGGATCGGCTGACTTCTGCATTGGACCGGATAAGGGTTCATCATGTTTTTCTTCAACACTGTAACCGTTTATCTTTTCCCTCTCCTCTTTTGACTCATCATCGTCACCGTCCTCTTCCTCATCATTCCAGTAGAACTCACTTTGGTCAAATAGATAAGCAAATATCAGTTTTGTCGAATCCGTATTCCAAATTTGTTCAGTTCATAAAAAAAAAGAAACTCGTATTATTAAAGGCAAAACAGAAAACCAAGAAAAAATTTGATTTTACCTCTCTAAATCGCCTCTAGCGTCATTGTTTTCATCATCATCAAACGAAAGCGCTAAGCCTATAGCGAGCACCAATCCAAAAAGGGCTATCAACAGCAGCTTGTTCATCCCGAAGTCTTCTGCGATGATCAGTTGTGGATCCAAATGACTTAATTTATACCCTTTTGAATGGGGCGTTGACACCCCTTTTTTGGTCCTAAAATATGAACAAATTCTAAATATCAGCTGCAAATAGTTGTAATAATATCACGAGTTGAGAGTATTTGTAAGTACCTCTTGTACGCTTGTAAGCGTCCCGATCAAAACATGATCCCAATGCAGTCTCCCAATGCCAGCTATTTATAACTACTAAAAATGTACAACGTTCAATATTTTTCACAGTCTTTCTTCTCATGTCTTTAATAACGCGCACTTTTTTTTTTTGGTTGATTTGTGTTCTATATATCACTTTTTTCCCCCATACTGTAAGTAAGTGAATGTTCCTTACCCTACAAAGAAATCTCCCAGACTCAGCTAATGTCGAACTAAGTTAGGGTGAAATAAGATTTTTAGAGATTTTTGCGAAAATACTGTATGAAGTGGAGATGTATTGATTCTGTGGAGTTGGAAAGAATATGGTGGGAATAGCTGTGTTTGACGTCATACATCGCTTCCTAACGAGCCTAACTTCTGCGGATTATTAGCTTTATGACATCATTTTTTAAGTTTGTTCTTCTGACACAAATATTGAAATATCAGTTTTCGTTGCCTGACAGTGTTTATCTCATCTGAAAACTTAGAGACTCCAAACAATATAATTTTTTTTTTCTAAATACTTCTGACAATTCCTCTTAATTTTTGGAGAAATTACTTTAATTACTACACTAAAAGGTAAATAGGGTATTTCAAGACTATAAAGTGATAACAATACACCATTAAAGACATTCACTCTTAAGTTGCACGGTGCATTTCCCATAATTGACGCCATTCTTAAAAGAGGAAAATCTAATGATATTTTTGTCACTCGTATGTTTTTATTTAGAAAAAAAAAATGTATTGACCTTTAGCCTGATACCCTTAACGTTTTTCTTACTGTTGTATTTGACGAAGGAACATTTTTGACCATTCGTCGATGGATGTAATGTGCGTCTGTTGATTCCCTCTGATCATTTCTTCAAAATATATTTCTTAATTTATCGTTCATACTTTTATTTTACGTTGGTACATACCTTTTTTTTTTTTTTTTTTTTTTTTTGAATATTAAAAAAAACTACTAATCTTAAAAATAGTAAAACAAAATTAGACCAAAAACCACAAATAATAAAAATCCGGCTAGAGTATTTCAATGGTAAATTACACAAAATAAGCCAGGAATAGAATACTTGACGGCTCGACTATTATTTTTGCCATGGGAATGACGTAAGCTGCTGAAAATCTTAAATGGACAACAAATCACCAATAAATAGATTAGTAATAACATTTTCCCGCTTTCTTCCGACGCAACTTAAAAGACGATGAGTTATAAGGAAAAACAAATTTTTGGGGTCAGAAACAAAGTGAGAATTGTCGATCGACCGACATTCAATTTTATAATCGTAAAAAGTTGTATTAAAAAAAAAAAAAGGACGAACAAAAAAAAAAAAAAAAACATTAGCCATCATCGAATTTCCACTGTGCTTTTAAACCCTCACCACCCACTAAGGTTAAGTACTGAATTAAACTTTAGAGAAAGCATGGAGTTTCTTTTTGGCTTTTTGACGTATAACGACGCAATACATGTGTTGTGTTAAATTGTGTCGATATACAATGCAGTCTCCCACAGCCAAGTATGGTAAGAGTTGCTCTGTGTTAGATACCATACATCGCTTCCGATGAGCCTAACTTTTCCGGTTGATTATGTTTCATCATATCATTTTATACGTTTGTTTTTCTGCTAGAAATATCAGAATATCATTTTTCGTCGCTTGACAGTTTTCATCTCATGTAATGGCTTAGATACTCAATATCAAAAATTACCTTTATTTTGAAACATTTACAATTTCCTCACGCATTTCCTGCGAAATTAACTCAACGTATCGGCTAGATGCATGACGTATTTCAAGACTACACTGGCTACACCATTTAGGACATTCACTCTCTCTGAGAAGCTGCACGTTGCACTTCCCATAATCGCCGCCTTTCTTAAAAGAGGAAAATTTAATCATTTCTTTGCTAGTCGTATGTGTTTCCTCTCAACAAAATTGTATTGACCTTCAGCTTGATACCCTTGACGTTTCCTATCGCCCTCTTGACAACGTCTAAACTTATCGGTTATTGCATTATAATATATATATAAGTTAAGTTTATGAAATATAAATAAAACATGCAACTAAGTAATCTTCTCTACCTTTAGGAATCGGGAGAGTCATCAGGAAAAAAAAGTGCATCCAGGTTTTGAATAAACAGTATAATACTTGTTCGCGCAAAGATCTTCGTTCCTCAGTTGTGCGACAGAATTAGTTACATAATATAAGTGGCAATCGAATATTAAAACGAGGGCAGGGAATTCCATGAAAATGGGAATATCCTTAAAGGTGAGAAAAAGAATAAAAAGTAACACGGAAAAGGAAATGAATGAATAATCATTGACGAGTATTTCTCATATAATTTGAGATCTACATCTTTTCTCCTTTTTTCGTGTTTCTCACTTGTATCTTATGTTGTGGAGGGTCATTGATATTGGTGGGGCTTATCTTGACAACAAAGAACAAGTCTCAATGACGAAACAAAAACGTAACTAAGTTAGGGAGCTACATCTCTATATTTTCCTTTGACATCGCTGACGGACGAAATTTCGTGAAACAAATATAGATTATCCATTTCCTTACTGTTGCATTTAATGAAGTAACTTTATTTGGCCATTCATCAATGGATAATTTACAAAGAGTTCGTTGACTAGATGTTATAAATTTGATACAAAAGCGGGTTGAAGATTTATGAGAGATCTCCTACTCCTATTGATTCTCTCTAATCATATCTTCGAATACTGAACAAAATAACTAATCCTCCAGAAAATGGAAAACAAAATAAGGCCAAAAACCACAAATAGTTTATCCGGCTGGGGTATTTGAATTCTAAGTTACACAAAATAAACCTAAGTATAGAATACGGTTTTTCACTATCGTGCCTGGCGAAAGCAAACTTGGAGCCAAAATTAAGGACCATTAAAAAACTCGCAGAGATCTTCACATCTAGAAGACGAAGAAGACACATTCTAATATGCAAATGTTTATAACATTGTATACAGATGGTGGCATTACCAATGGTTCTCTTACCAAACTCAGAAACAGCTCTCAACATCTTAATGACCTCTTTATTTGGGAAATTTCAACTTTTGAATTTGATTTAATGAGAAAGAATAAAATTATAAATGCATGCTGGTTGAAAAATATACTGTTTTCAAAAGTAATATCTGATTTGAAACCAGCGGACAAGCAATAGAGTTTGTTTGTGCACGCATTTATAGCTTTAAAGGGTGGGGTTCTTTGCTTGTGTCGTTTATTGTTCTGAGATTGTTTAATGTGTCTATTCCAATTCATTGCAATCCTTTGCTTCGACTCTCTCAAAGGTTCTCTTTCCTCGTTATGTTTAGACGTCTTGAAGTTAAATCAATACTTATATCTACTCTATCGTTGCCTTGGTGTTTGAGAATTCCAAAAGCTTCCATTATTTGCATGCTAGTTTTTCTATCTTGGTCACCTTGAAGAGCAAGGCCTGTGGCCAAGACAAACCAGACCAAAGCCAAGAAGAATAATGCATTCAATGATAAGCCTTCTTTGTGTTTGTTAATTGATGAATAAAGTAGCACATCTTTATTTGAAATAATAGATCGTGCAAAACGATCAGAAAAAAGAAATGAGTTGCACGGCCTGACGAGAAAGTTTATCATTTGTTTTTCAGTTGATACTTGATTTGCCGCGCGAAGTATATATTTCTCTATCCACCTGCTCATTTCCTGATGGTCAAATAACTAATATCGATAGCCTGGCCACAAAACAGGCAATGTATTCAGTTTCTCTTGGATTCATCAAATACAACGACTTGATTCGTGTGTTGCATGAAATTAATACTGGAATTATTGCCAAAACCTGGTAACAGTTTCGTATAAAAACATCCTTATTTGATGCCCTTGTGGTGTATCAAGTAACAATGAATAGTATGATGGTCTCTAGCAAATATCGACTGTCGATTGTAAAAAATCATGTTAGTTTAACCGACTAATTGAAGGAAGCTGTTTAAAATCATTTTCTCGCTTTCTTCCATACACACGTTTCTTCTTTCTTATTCATTTCTAAAATAAGGGTTCTTCATGGTGACTTATCTCATGAGGAGTCTGTAAGTTCTAGGTAAAACACCGAGCAGAGTCCCTGACGATAGCGCGGTTCCCCTTGTTAAGGATTTCATAAGGATGAGTATTTTTCATTTTTGCTTTGTTTTGTTTTTTTCTCCTTTAAGGTAAATTTTAAAAAAATGAAACAAAGATGACAGGATAACATAAAACTCTTGACCTCGCAAGCATCACCATAATCTTATTGGTAAGGAAGAATGAGTTGTATGGCGGAAAATCAAATAAGCTACAAACGACTTTGAGCTAAACATTTTATTTTATTCAAATCAAAGAGTGTCATTTAAATGTAAATTAAACGTTTTTAACTTAGTTCCGTCAAACTTTACTCGTTGTTCATATAAACGCAAAGAAACTCAGCAATAGAAAAAAGGTCTTTGTGTCCTCCAGATTACAAGATCCTTTTCGAGCCTGCAAGATAAAGATCCAATGCTTCAGGCAAAAGTTTCAAAAAGTTAGATTTAGTGTAACTGTCAATTGTTTAAAGTTCGAGCATAAAAAAATGATTTGATTTTTCTTTAAATTCCCAGTTCGGTGGTTGCAACAATACACGAGTTACCCAAGCGAACGCCTATAAAAGACAGTTTTGGACGATTATTATAACTTAGTTAGAAACTTAGCGAAGCCTTTATCTCACCCAAATCCTGTCTTAGACTATTTTCGTCGAAAACTTACACTTCGTTCTCTTACCGTTTTAAGCCACCTTATCTCTGTCCTTGTGACTAGTTTAGATGAATTAACCAAATCTCCGTCTTCGGCGGCGACGGCGACGGCGAAATGCTCGGCTCAGTAGGCGCAAACCTATGAAAGGTAGAATCGGATCGGCTGATTTCTGCATTGGACCGGATAGGGGTTTATCATGTTTTTCTTCAACACTGTAACCAGTTATCTTTTCCTTCTCCTCTTTTGGCTCCTCATCGTCTCCGTCCTCTTCCTCATCATTCCAGTAGAGCTCACTTTGGTCAAATAGATTAGCAAATATCAGTTTTGTCGACTCCGTATTCCAAATTTATAAAGTTCATAAAAAACTCGTGTTATTAAAGGCAAAACAGAATACCAAGAAAAAAGTTTCATTTTACCTCTCTAAATCGCCTCTGACCTCATTGTTTTCATCATCATCAAACGAAAGCGCTAAACCTATGGCAAGCACCAATCCAAAAAGGGCTATCAACAGCAGCTTGTTCATCTCGAAGTCTTCTGCGATGATCAGTTGTGGATCCAAGTGACTTAATTTATATCCTTTTGAATGGGGCGTTGACACCCCTTTTTTGGTCCTAAATCATGAACAAATTCTAAATATCAGCTGCAAATAGTTGTAATAATATCATGAGCTGAAAGTATTCGCAAGTACCTCTTGTACGCTTGTAAACGTCCCGATCAAAACATGATCCCAATTCAGGCTCCCAAGGCCAGGTATTTATAACTACTGAAAATGTACAACGTTCAATATTTTTCACAGTCTTTCTTCTCATGTCTTTCATAACGCCCATTTTGTTTTGGTTGATTTGTGTTCTATATATCACTTTTTGTCCCCCATATTGTAAGTGAATGTTCCTTACCCTACAAAGAAATCTCCTGGACTCAGCTTAATGTCGAACTAAGTTAAGGTGAAATCAGATTAGTAAAGATTTTCGCGAAATTACTGTATGAAGTGGAGATGTATTGATTCTGTGGAGTTGCAAAGAAAATGGTAGGAATAGCTGTGTTTGACGTCATACATCGTTTCCTAACGAGCCTAACTTCTCCGGTTTATTAGTTTTATGACATTATTTTTTAACTTTGTTTTTCTGATACAAATATTGGAATATCAGTTTTCGTTCCTTGACAGTGTTTATCTCATCTGAAAACTTAAGAGACTCCAAACAATATCACCTTTTTTTTTCTGAATATTCCTAAAACATTCCTCACAATTATTTGAGAAATAACTTTAATCACTACACTAAAAAGTAAATAGGGTATTTCAAGACTACACTGCTAACAATACACCATTAAAAGACGTTCACTCTTAAGCTGTACGATGCATTTCCCATAATTGACGCCATTCTTAAAAGAGGAAACTCTTATGATATTTTTGTCACTCGTATATTTTTATTAAACAAAAAAATTGTATTGACCTTTAGCCTGATACCCTTAACGTTTTTCTTACTATTATATTCGACGAAGGAAAGCTTTTGACCATTCGTCGATGGATTTAATGTGCGTCTGTTGATTCCTGTTAATCATATTTTCATAATATATGTCTTAATTTATCGTTTATACTTTTATTTTATGTTGGTACATATCTTTGCTTTTTTTTTCGGATTTTCAAAAATAATTAATCTTAAAAAATAGTAAAACAAAATTAGACCAAAAACCACAAATAATAAAAATCTGGCAAGAGTATTTCAATGGTGAGTTACACAAAAAAAGCCTAGAAATAGAATACTTGACGGCTTGAATATTATTTCTGACATGGGAATAATGGAGGCTGGACAACAAATCACCAATAAATAGATTAGTAATAACATTTTCCCACTTTCTTCCGATACAACTTAGAGGACAATGAGTTAGAGTAAGGAAAAACAAATTTTGGAAGTCAGAGTCAAAGTGAGAATTGTCGATCGACCGACATTCGATTTTATAATCGTAAAAAATTATTTTTTAAACCTTCACCACCCACTAAGGTTATGTACTGAATTTAACTTTAGAGAAAACATGGAATTTCTTTTCGGCTTTTTGACATATAACGACGCAATACATGTGTTGTGTTAAATTGTGTCGATATAAAATGCAGTCTCCCACTGCCAAGTATGTTAAGAGTTGCTCTGTGTTAGATGCCATACATCGTTTCCTGATGAGCCTAGCTTTTCCTGTTGATTATGTCTCATCATATCATTTTATGCGTTTGTTTTTCTGCTAGAAATATCAAAATTTCATTTTTCGTTGCTTGACAGTTTTCATCTCATTTAATGGCTTAGATACTCGAAACAATATCAAAAATTACCTTTATTTTTAAACATTTCCATCATTTCTTCACGCATTTCCTGCGAAATTACCCCAACGTACCGACTAGATGCATGGCGTATTTCAAGACTACACTGGCTACACCATTTAGGACATTCATTCTCTCTGAGAAACTGCACGTTGCACTTCCCATAATCGCCGCCTTTCTTAAAAGAGGAAAATTTAATCACTTATTTGCTAGTCGTATGTGTTTCCTCTCAACAAAATGGTATTGACCTTCAGCTTGATACCCTTGACGTTTCCTATCGCCCTCTTGACAACTTCTAAACTTATCGGTTATTGCATTGTAAGTTAAGTTTATAAAATATAAATACAACATGCAACTAAGTAATCTTCTCCACCTTTTGGAATTGGGAGAGTCCTCAGCAAAAAAAAATGCATGCAGGTTTTGAATAAACAGTATAATACTTGTTCGCGCAAAGATCTTCGTTCCTCAGTTGTGCGACAGAATTAGCTACATAATATAAGTGGCAATCGAATATTAAAACGAGGGCAGGGAATTCCATGGAAATGGGAATATCCTTAAAGGTGAGAAAAGAATAAAAAGCAACACGGAAAAGGAAATGAATGAATAATCATTGAGGAGTATTTCTCATAGCATTTGAGATCTACATCTTTTCTCCTTTTTTTGTGTTTCTCACTTGTATCTTATGTTGTGGAGGGTCAGTGACATTGGTGGAGCCAAAATTAAGGACCATTATAAAACTCATAGAGATCTTTACATCTAGAAGACGAAGAAGACACATTCTAAAATGCAAATGTTGATAACATTGTATACAGATACAGTAGTGGCATTACCAATGGTTCTCTTACCAAACTCAGAAACAGCTCTCAATATCTTAATGACCTCTTTATTTGGGAAATTTCAACTTTTGAATTTGATTTAATGAGAAAGAATAAAATTATAAATGCATGCTGGTTGAAAAATATACTGTTTTCAAAAGTAATATCTGATTTGAAACCAGCGGTCAAGCAATAGAGTTTGTTTGTGCACGCATTTATAGCTTTAAAGGGTGGGGTTCTTTGCTTGTGTCGTTTATTGTTCTGAGATTGTTTAATGTGTCTATTCCAATTCATTGCAATCCTTTACTTCGACTCTCTCAAAGGTTCTCTTTCCTCGTTATGTTTAGACGTCTTAAAGTTAGATCAATACTTATATATACTCTATCGTTGCCTTGGTGTTTGAGAATTCCAAAAGCTTCCATTATTTGCATGCTAGTTTTTCCATCTTGGTCACCTTGAAGAGCAAGGCCTGTGGCCAAGACAAACCAGACCAAAGCCAAGAAGAATAATGCATTCAATGATAAGCCTTCTTTGTGTTTGTTAATTGATGAATAAAGTAGCACATCTTTATTTGAAATAATAGATCGTGCAAAACGATCAGAAAAAAGAAATGAGTTGCACGGCCTGACGAGAAAGTTTATCATTTGTTTTTCAGTTGATACTTGATTTGCCGCACGAAGTATATATTTCTCTATCCACCTGCTCATTTCCCGATGGTCAAATAACTAATATCGATAGCCTGGCCACAAAACAGGCAATGTATTCAGTTTCTCTTGGATTCATCAAATACAACGACTTGATTCGTGTGTTGCATGAAATTAATACTGGAATTATTGTCAAAACCTGGTAACAGTTTCGTATAAAAACATCCTTACTTGATGCCCTTGTGGTGTATCAAGTAACAATGAATAGTATGATGGTCTCTAGCAAATATCGACTGTCGATTATAAAAAATCATGTTAGTTTAACCAACTAATTGAAGGAAGCTGTTTAAAATCATTTTCTCGCTTTCTTCCATACACACGTTTCTTCTTTCTTATTCATTTCTAAAATAAGGGTTCTTCATGGTGACTTATCTCATGAGGAGTCTGTAAGTTCTAGGTAAAACACCGAACAGAGTCCCTGACGATAGTGCGGTTCCCCTTGTTAAGGATTTCATAAGGATGAGTATTTTTCATTTTTGCTTTGTTTTGTTTTTTTCTCCTTTAAGGTAAATTTAAAAGAAATGAAACAAAGATGACAGGATACTGCATAAAACTCTTGACCTCGCAAGCATCACCATAATCGTATTGGTAAGGAAGAATGGGTTGTATGGCGGAAAATCAAATACGCTACAAACGATTTTGAGCTAAGCATTTTATTTTATTCAAATCAAAGAGTGTCATTTAAATGTAAATTAAACGTTTTTAACTTAGTTCCTTCAAACTTTACTCGTTGTTCATATAAACGCAAAGAAACTCAGCAATAGAAAAAAGGTCTTTGTCTCCTCCAGATTACAAGATCCTTTTCAAGCCTGCAAGATAAAGATCCAATGCTTCAGGCAAAAGTTTCAAAAAGTTAGATTTAGTGTAACTGTCAATTGTTTAAAGTTCGAGCATAAAAAAAATGATTTGATTTTTCTTTAAATTCTCAGTTCGGTGGTTGCAGCAATACACGAATTACCCAAGAGAACGCCTATAAAAGACAGTTTTGGACGATTATTATAACTTAGTTAGAAACTTAGTGAAGCCTTTATCTCACCCAAATCCTGTCTTAGACTATTTTCGTCGAAAACTTACACTTCGTTCTCTTACCGTTTTAAGCCACCTTATCTCTGTCCTTGTGACTAGTTTAGATGAATTAACCAAATCTCCGTCTTCGGCGGCGACGGCGACGGCGACGGCGAAATGCTCGGCTCAGTAGGCGCAAACCTATGAAAGGTAGAATCGGATCGGCTGATTTCTGCATTGGACCGGATAGGGGTTTATCATGTTTTTCTTCAACACTGTAACCAGTTATCTTTTCCTTCTCCTCTTTTGGCTCCTCATCGTCTCCGTCCTCTTCCTCATCATTCCAGTAGAACTCACTTTGGTCAAATAGATTAGCAAATATCAGTTTTGTCGACTCCGTATTCCAAATTTATATAGTTCATAAAAAAACTCGTGTTATTAAAAGCAAAACAGAATATCAAGAAAAAATTTGATTTTACCTCTCTAAATCGCCTCTGGCCTCATTGTTTTCATCGTCATCAAACGAAAGCGCTAAGCCTATGGCAAGCACCAATCCAAAAAGGGCTATCAACAGCAGCTTGTTCATCTCGAAGTCTTCTGCGATGATCAGTTGTGGATCCAAGTGACTTAATTTATACCCTTTTGAATGGGGCGTTGACACCCCTTTTTTGGTCCTAAATCATGAACAAATTCTAAATATCAGCTGCAAACAGTTGTAATAATATCATGAGCTGAAAGTATTCGCAAGTACCTCTTGTACGCTTGTAAACGTCCCGATCAAAACATGATCCCAATTCAGTCTCCCAAGGCCAGGTATTTATAACTACTGAAAATGTACAACGTTCAATATTTTTCACAGTCTTTCTTCTCATGTCTTTCATAACGCCCATTTTGTTTTGGTTGATTTGTGTTCTATAGATCACTTTTTGTCCCCCATATTGTGAGTGAATGTTCCTTACCCTACAAAGAAATCTCCTGGAATCAGCTTAATGTCGAACCAAGTTAAGGTGAAATCAGATTAGTAAAGATTTTCGCGAAATTACTGCATGAAGTGGAGATGTATTGATTCTGTGGAGTTGCAAAGAAAATGGTAGGAATAGCTGTGTTTGACGTCATACATCGTTTCCTAACGAGCCTAACTTCTCCGGTTTATTAGTTTTATGACATTATTTTTTTTAACTTTGTTTTTCTGATACAAATATTGGAATATCAGTTTTCGTTACTTGACAGTGTTTATCTCATCTGAAAACTTAAGAGACCCCAAACAATATCACCTTTTTTTTTCTGAATACTCCTAAAACATTCCTCACAATTATTTGAGAAATTACTTTAATTACTACACTAAAAGGTAAATAGGGTATTTCAAGACTACACTGCTAACAATACACCATTAAAAGACGTTCACTCTTAAGCTGTACGATGCATTTCCCATAATTGACGCCATTCTTAAAAGAGGAAACTCTTATGATATTTTTGTCACTCGTATATTTTTATTAAACAAAAAAATTGTATTGACCTTTAGCCTGATACCCTTAACGTTTTTCTTACTATTATAATTGACGAAGGAAAGCTTTTGACCATTCGTCGATGGATTTAATATGCGTCTGTTGATTCCCATTAATCATATTTTCATAATATATGTCTTAATTTATCGTTTATACTTTTATTTTATGTTGGTACATATCTTTGCTTTTTTTTTCGGATTTTCAAAAATAATTAATCTTAAAAAATAGTAAAACAAAATTAGACCAAAAACCACAAATAATAAAAATCTGGCAAGAGTATTTCAATGGTGAGTTACACAAAAAAAGCCTAGAAATAGAATACATGACGGCTTGAATATTATTTCTGACATGGGAATAATGGAGGCTGGACAACAAATCACCAATAAATAGATTAGTAATAACATTTTCCCGCTTTCTTCCGATACAACTTAGAGGACAATGAGTTAGAGTAAGGAAAAACAAATTTTGGAAGTCAGAGTCAAAGTGAGAATTGTCGATCGACCGACATTCGATTTTATAATCGTAAAAAATTATTTTTTTAACCCTCACCACCCACTAAGGTTACGTACTGAATTTAACTTTAGAGAAAACATGGAATTTCTTTTTGGCTTTTTGACATATAACGACGCAATACATGTGTTGTGTTAAATTGTGTCGATATAAAATGCAGTCTCCCACTGCCAAGTATGTCAAGAGTTGCTCTGTGTTAGATGCCATACATCGTTTCCTAATGAGCCTAGCTTTTCCGGTTGATTATGTCTCATCATATCATTTTATGCGTTTGTTTTTCTGCTAGAAATATCAGAATATCATTTTTCGTTGCTTGACAGTTTTCATCTCATTTAATGGCTTAGATACTCGAAACAATATCAAAAATTACCTTTATTTTTAAACATTTCCATCATTTCTTCACGCATTTCCTGCGAAATTACCCCAACGTACCGACTAGATGCATGGCGTATTTCAAGACTACACTGGCTACACCATTTAGGACATTCACTCTCTCTGAGAAGCTGCACGTTGCACTTCCCATAATCGCCGCCTTTCTTAAAAGAGGAAAATTTAATCATTTCTTTGCTAGTCGTATGTGTTTCCTCTCAACAAAATTGTATTGACCTTCACCTTGATACCCTTGACGTTTCCTATCGCCCTCTTGACAACTTCTAAACTTATCGGTTATTGCATTGTAAGTTAAGTTTATAAAATATAAATACAACATGCAACTAAGTAATCTTCTCCACCTTTTGGAATTGGGAGAGTCCTCAGCAAAAAAAAAAAATGCATGCAGGTTTTGAATAAACAGTATAATACTTGTTCGCGCAAAGATCTTCGTTCCTCAGTTGTGCGTCAGAATTAGCTACATAATATAAGTGGCAATCGAATATTAAAACGAGGGCAGGGAATTCCATGGAAACGGGAATATCCTTAAACGTGAGAAAAGAATAAAAAGCAACACGGAAAAGGAAATGAATGAATAATCATTGACGAGTATTTCTCATAGCATTTGAGATCTACATCTTCGTGAAACAAATATAGATTATCCATTTCCCTACTGTTGCGTTTAATGAAGTAACTTTTTTTGACCATTCATTAATGGATAATTTACAAAGAGTTCGTTGACTAGATGTTATAAATTTGATACGGATGCGGGTAGAAGATTTATGAGAGATCTCCTACTCCTATTGATTCCCTCTAATCATATCTTCCTAATATATTTCTTAATCCATCTTTCATAATTATCCGTTGATATATCTGTTTGCTTATTTCGCTTTTTTTTTTCGAATACCGAATAAAATAACTAATCCTCCAGAAAAGGAAAACAAAATAAGGCCAAAAACCACAAATAGTTTATCCGGCTGGGGTATTTGAATTCTAAGTTACACAAAATAAACCTAAATATAGAATACTCCACGGTTTTTCACGATCGTGGCTGGCGAAAGCAAACTTGGAGCCAAAATTAAGGACCATTATAAAACTCACAGAGATCTTTACATCTAGAAGACGAAGAAGACACATTCTAAAATGCAAATGTTGATAACATTGTATACAGATACAGTAGTGGCATTACCAATGGTTCTCTTACCAAACTCAGAAACAGCTCTCAACATCTTAATGACCTCTTTATTTGGGAAATTTCAACTTTTGAATTTGATTTAATGAGAAAGAATAAAATTATAAATGCATGCTGGTTGAAAAATATACTGTTTTCAAAAGTAATATCTCATTTGAAACCAGCGGTCAAGCAATAGAGTTTGTTTGTGCACGCATTTATAGCTTTAAAGGGTGGGGTTCTTTGCTCGTGTCGTTTATTGTTCTGAGATTGTTTAATGTGTCTATTCCAATTCATTGCAATCCTTTACTTCGACTCTCTCAAAGGTTCTCTTTCCTCGTTATGTTTAGACGTCTTGAAGTTAAATCAATACTTATATCTACTCTATCGTTGCCTTGGTGTTTGAGAATTCCAAAAGCTCCCATTATTTGCATGCTAGTTTTTCCATCTTGGTCACCTTGAAGAGCAAGGCCTGTGGCCAAGACAAACCAGACCAAAGCCAAGAAGAATAGTACATTCGATGATAAGCCTTCTTTGTGTTTGTTAATTGATGAATAAAGTAACACATCTTTATTTGAAATAATACATCTTGCAAAACGATCAGAAAAAAGAAATGAGTTGCACGGCCTGACGAGTATATATTTCTCTATCCACCTGCTCATTTCCCGATGGTAAAATAACTAATATCGATGGCCTGGCCACAAAACAGTCAATGTATTCAGCTTCTCTTGGATTCGTCAAATAAAACGACTCGATTCGTATGTTGTACGAAATAAACACTGGAATTATTGCCAAAAACTGGTAATGGTTTCATATAAAAACATCCTTACTTGATGCCCTTATGGTGCATCAAGTAACAATGAATAGTATGATGGTCTTTAGCAAATATCGACTGTCACTTATAAAAAATCATGTTAGTTTAACTAACTAATTGAAGGAAGCTGTTTAAAATCATTTTCTCGCTTTCTTTCATACAACGTTTCTTCTTTCTTATTCATTTCTAAAATAAGACTTCTTCATGGTGACTTATCTCATGAGGAGTCTGTAAGTTCTAGCTAAAACACCGAACAGAGTCCCTGACGATAGTGTGGTTCCCCTTGTTAAGGATTTCGTAAGAATGAGTATTTTTCGTTTTTGCTTTGTTTTGTTTTTTCCTCCTTTAAGGTAAATTTAAAAAAATGAAACAAAGATGAGAGGATAACATAAAACTCTTGACCTCGCAAGCATCACCATAATCTTATTGGTAAGGAAGAATGGGTTGTATGGCGGAAAATCAAATACGCTACAAACGATTTTGAGCTAAGCATTTTATTTTATTCAAATCAAAGAGTGTCATTTAAATGTAAATTAAACGTTTTTAACTTAGTTCCTTCAAACTTTACTCGTTGTTCATATAAACGCAAAGAAACTCAGCAATAGGAAAAAGGTCTTTGTGTCCTCCAGATTACAAGATCCTTTTCAAGCCTGCAAGATAAAGATCCCATGCTTCAGGCAAAAGTTTCAAAAAGTTAGATTTAGTGTAACTGTCAATTTTTTAAAGTTCGTGCATAAAAAAATGATGTAATTTTATTTTAAATTCCCAGTTCGGTGGTTGCAGCAATACACGAATTACCCAAGAGAACGCCTATAAAAGACAGTTTTGGACGATTATTATAACTTAGTTAGAAACTCAGCGAAGCCTTTATCTCACCCAAATCCTGTCTTAGACTATTTTCGTCGAAAACTTACACTTCGTTCTCTTACCGTTTTAAGCCACCTTATCTCTGTCCTTGTGACTAATTTCGATGAATTAACCAAATCTCCGTCTTCGGCGGCGACGACGACGGCGAAACGCTCGCCTCAGTAGGCGCAAACCTATGAAAGGTAGAATCGGATCGGCTGATTTCTGCATTGGACCGGATAAGGGTTTATCATGTTTTTCTTCAACACTGTAGCCATTTATCGTTTCCCTCTCCTCTTTTGGCTCCTCATCGTCTCCGTCCTCTTCCTCACCATTCCAGTAGAACTCACTTTGGTCAAATAGATTAGCAAATATCAGTTTTGTCGAAACCGTATTCCAAATTTATAAAGTTCATTAAAAAAAAAAAAACTCGTATTATCAAAGGCAAAACAGAATACCAAGAAAAAAAGTTTCATTTTACCTCTCTAAATCGCCTCTGGCCTCATTGTTTTCATCATCATCAAACGAAAGCGCTAAGCCTATAGCGAGCACCAATCCAAAAAGGGCTATCAACAGCAGCTTGTTCATCTCGAAGTCTTCTGCGATGATCAATTGTGGATCCAAATGACTTAATTTATACCCTTTTGAATGGGGCGTTGACACCCCTTTTTTGGTCCTAGAACATGAACAAATTCTAAATATCAGCTGCAAATAGTTGTAACAATATCATGAGTTGAGAGTATTGGCAAGTACCTCTTGTACGCTTGTAAGCGTCCCGATCAAAACATGATCCCAATGCAGTCTCCAAAGGCCAGGTATTTATAACTACTAAAAATGTACAACGTTCAATATTTTTCACAGTCTTTCTAATCATGTCTTTCATAACGCGAATTTTGTTTTGCTTAATTTCTGTTCTATATATCACTTTTTTTCCCCTATATTGTAAGTGAATGTTCTTTACCCTACAAAGAAATCTCCTGGCCTCAGCTTAATGTCGAACTAAATTAGGGTGAAATCTGATCATAAAAGTTTTTCGCGAAAAATACTGTATGAAGTGGAGATGTATTGATTCTGTGGAGTTGGAAAGAAAATGGTGGGAATAGCTGTGTTTGACGTCATAAATCGCTTCCTAACGAGCCTAACTTCTCCGGTTTATTAGTTTTATGACATTATTTTTTAACTTTGTTTTTCTGATACAAATATTGGAATATCAGTTTTCGTTACTTGGCAGTGTTTATCTCATCTGAAAACTTAAAGACTCCAAACAATTTCAATTTTTTTTCTGAATACTCCTAAAAAATTCCTCACAATTATTTGAAAAATTAGTACAATTAAATTACTACACTAAAAGGTAAATAGCGAATTTCAAGACTACACTACTAACAATACACCATTAAAAGAAGTTCACTGTTAAGTTGCACGGTGCATTTCCCCTAATTGACGCCATTCTTAAAAGATGAAAATCTAATGATATTTTTGTCACTCGTATGTTTATATTTAAAAAAACAATTGTATTGACCTTTAGCCTGATACCCTTAACGTTCTTCTTACTATTATGTTTAACGAAGGAACGTTTTTGACCATTCGTCGATGGATTTAATGTGTGTCTGTTGATTCCCTCTAATCATATCTTCATAATATATATCTTAATTTATCGTTCATACTTTTATTTTATGTTGGTACATAATTTTGCTTTTTTTTTTTTTTTTTTATTTTCAAAAATAGTTAATCTTAAAAAATAGTAAAACAAAATTAGACCAAAAACCACAAATAATAAAAATCCGGCAGGAGTATTTCAATGGTGAGTTACACAAAATAAGCCGAGAAATAGAATACTTGATGGCTTGAATATTATTTCGGACATGGGAATGATGGAAGCTGCTGAAAATATTAAATGGACAACAAATCACCAATAAATAGATTAGTAATAACATTTTCCGGCTTTCTTCCGATACATCTTAGAAGACGATGAGTTAGAATAAGGAAAAACAAATTTTGGAAGTCAGAGTCAAAGTGAGAATTGTCGATCGACCGATGTCCAATTTCATAATCGTAAAAAATTATATTAAAAAAAAAAAAAGGATAAACAAAAAAACATCAGCCATCATCGAATTTCCGCTGTTCTTTTAAACCCTCACCACCCACTAAGGTTACGTACTGAATTAAACTTTGGAGAAAGCATGGAATTTCCTTTTTGGCTTTTTGACATAAAACGACGCAGTACACATGTTGTGTTAAATTGTGTCGTTATACAATGCAATCTCCCACAGCCAAGTATGGTAAGAGTTGCTCTGTGTTAGATGCCATACATCGTTTCCTAATGAGCCCCGGTTGATAATTTCTCATCATATCATTTTCTACGTTTGTCTTTCTGCTAGAAATATCAGAATATCATTTTTCGTCACTTGACAGTTTTTATCTCATGTAATGGCTTAGAGACTCGAAACAATATCAAAAATTACCTTTATTTTTAAACAATTCCAACATTTCCTCACGCATTTCCTGCGAAATTACCTCAACGTACCGGCTAGATGCATGGCGTATTTCAAGACTACACTGGCTACTGGCTTCCTTGTTAAGATATTAAACCACAAATATCCGATAAGAAGAGTTGAAATTATGGCATTTTCCTATTGATTTAAATAAATATTTACATTTTGATTTATAAGCGGAAAGGGAAATTACTCAAGTCTTAACAAGAAGCTCAAGCACGAATAAAAATATTATTATTCTACTATACTATGTAAAACATAAAGCTTTTGCATATATATATATATATATATATATGTATCATTATTAAATAAAAATAGTAGAGGAGATATCATCAAGATTTTGAAAGGTGTTCATGATTATGAGTTATGGTGCTCTTAACTTGACAATTACCTCTGTATGAAATATAATAAACGTTGCATGTCATAAGTAATGTTTTCATCCCCTAAAAGGTGTGAGTTTGTTACTCTTCACCGCTAGAATAGAATAATTTTTTTCATGTTAATTTCGCCATTTTTCGATATTGCTGAGTGCACTTATTAAATCTTCTTTCATACTGAAAACTTTCTAAATCAAACACTTTTTCCGAACTCCAAGACCACAAAATAATCACATAATATTTTTATTGTTTTTCGACCCGAGCTGAAAGAATAAATAAAAATGCAGCGCTAAGCAGTGTACTCAGTGGGGTCTAAATATTAATTTTACTCGAAATTCACACGTGATTTCAAATCCAAGAAGTGTGTTCAACTATAAGAGGCAAGTTCGGAGGATGGGGTCTTGAGCACCCTGCGTTGAAACTTTACAACCCTAAGCTCAGTATCTTGCTCCGAGTTACGAGTTAAAACTTACTAGGAGGAGGACTCGGTTCAGTTTTTAAAAAGTCGAGATTATTCCGAAGCTTTATGCACATTCGCAAACGTTTTCCTTAGTGGTAGCGAACGGAGGTAGCTTGAAAGGAATATAAAAATTCATAAATGAGCCGCAAGTTTGATAACACGGGGCAGGTCAAACACTAAACATAAACTCCGGGCAATCAATAGCGTAGTATCTTTTGAATATAAGATACACTGAAAATATTTGCATTTCAATCAACGTCGGTGGGAATGATTGATTGAAAGTGTAATCTCATTACCAAAGAGGAGTAAGTTGCAAGATGGGTAAATACATTACAGAGAAGACAAGTCGTTATTTTGCTTTCCGTTTATTGAAATTAACCACCATCATTTAAAAACATATCATTAAAATTGTTGAATCAGCTTACTACAAATGTTACAGACTCAGCAATAAGAAAAAGAAGAGTTGTTTTGCTTTCTCCAGATTAAATGATCCTTATCAAGCCTGCAAGGTAACCATTACATACGTTAGACAAATTAAGGTGTAGTTACGTGCAGTTACTTAAGGTGTAACTACACATAAGAGTGGCTGTTGCCACTACGTCTTAAAAAGTTAGATCTTTTACAAAGAAATTATTCTGGATATTCTGTCCAGTAAGTAAAGCAAGTTTAAAACGTAAGAAAAAACGAAAGAAACGTATTTCAAACAGTTGTTCTGACAATTGTTTAGAGTTCGAGCAATAAATGATGATACTTTTTTTCTCTAAATACCCAGTTCGGTGGTTGCAACCATACACAAATTACTATTGGTGAGGGAGTCGGCAAAGGATGGGAAGGGCCTCTGATTTCTTTGATTTAAATTTACGATAAACTATGATACAAAAATGATTCAGTTATTAAGTAGTTTAGCAAAGTCTCTAGTTCACTCAAATCCTGGCTTATAACATCATCTATCTCATGAACTTTTTTCTCTTACCATTTAAAGCCACCTTATCTCCTTGCGACTGGTCTCAATGCATTAGCCTTGTCTCCTTCGACGACGTCTTCGGCGGATGCCCAGCGGATTAAGCGAGAAATGACCGTGAAGATTGGATCAGCTGATTTCTGCAGTGGGCCGGACAAGGGTTTATCAGCTTCGCCTTCAACGATGTAACCGTCTATCTTTCCTTCTCTACTTTTGGCTCATCGTTGTCTTCGTCCTCGTCCTCACTATTCCAGTCGAAGCCACTTTGGTTCAAACGAAAAATATATCAGTTTTTCTGAATCTGCATCTATTAAGTGCATCAAAAAACCTACCATAATTCATGGTGCAAAGGATAATAATGATGATAGAGATTTAAAAATATATTTTGATATATTTACCTATCTAAATCGTCTCTGACTTCCTTTGTCGCGGTATACTTCGCCTGGTTTTCGTCCTCGTCAGACGAAAATCCCAAGCTTATGGCAAGCATCAAGCCAAGCAGAGCTTATAAGAGAATCTTGTTCATCTCGAAGTCTACCTCGATGATCAATTTTTGATTCAAGCGGCACAACTTTTACGCTTTGGATGGGGCGTGGGCAGACCTTTTTTGGTCCAAAAACAACAAAAAAATACTAATTACTGTCATGATAGATATTGACTCAAGATTATATACAAATACTTCTTTTACGTCCATGAGCATCAAGATCAAAACATGATTTCAATACAGTCTCCCGGCTATTTATATAACTACTGAAAATGTTAAACGAGCAATATTTGTCTTAATCTTCATTTCATCTTAATATGGCCTTCACATCGCAAATCCTTTCTTTTTTTCTGTCCATTTTTTCTTGTTTTGTTCCTGAGTTTGCAAAGAGAGCCTCAAGTCTCAGCTTTAGGTGTAAGTGTGAAAGGTAAAACCAATGCACTCCAATCGTCGGGATAATATCAAGTGTACATAAAATGTTAACTCAGTTATTTTGAAAAGAAGACGCGCCGATGGCTAAATTTTGGTGTTTGATAGAACACAGCGTTTCCAAATGAGCCTGACTATTCACGTTTTGTTTTTTGGTTCATTATATTTCATTCCATCATTTCCATTTTTTGACAGTAAAATCTATGTACTAATTTCGCTGTTTAACTGTTTTATCTCGTGTGGATTAAGTAAAATTGGAGACTTCCACCTTTCATCGTCAAGTGTATTTGAAGGCTACAATGATAGTTATACGCCATTATTGACACAACCCTTAACGACTTGAATTTTTCTCCTTTTTAGAAAGGAAATTTTGATCATTATTTTC